CAATGAGTTGAGTATGGTTTTGGATTGATTTTTGCGCCATTTGAAATATATGCGGCGCTTCGCATTTTTTTATTTTCTCGTCTGAGCTTTACAAAAAACTTTTAGATATTTCTTTAAACTTAAAATTAGCGCTAGGATTACAAATTAACCTTAGGTGGCGTTTACAAATTAACCTAAGCTGCGCGAATAAAAACATTCAGACCGGTAACAAAAATTTTTGAGTTATAAAATTATTTGCTCCGTGTGGAATCGAACTCCCGACTCGTAGCGCTACAAAAAAAACGCTTAGTGCATTGTGTTACTGAGCCGTGACTTTTATATTATTATCTAGCTCACCAGGCAGGCATTGTTCTGCCCTTTTCGACGACTCTTTGTCATGTCCTATTAAAAATCCTTAAATTCGCAAAAAATGTGGGTTACTCATTGACAAAAAAACTATTCCATCTCTCAAGTTGGACCAAACTGCACACGTTGAGCAAATTCATTAAAATCGGTTAAGTAGGTTAGGAGTCCATCGCGGACAAACAACGTGACACGAAATTTATATATATATATATATATATATAAATTAATTAATTAGATAAGATATATTTTTAGCCGACTGCCTGGGAAGCAGAGTAACGTTTTCCGATAGTAAGTATGTCTAATTCTTAGGCATGCTTTGTAACCTAAACAGCTTCATATACTTTAACATATGGTCGTTAGATTCGTCTTAGCTGTGGAAGTAATCTAGGGTGAAAATTTTTAACTTTTGAGTAGATTTTGGAAGCATTCTTTTTTTTTAACTTACCGTTTTAACCATTGGGAAAGCCCTGGTAGCTCAGGGGCTTAGCGCTCGCTGTAAATTTCACAGTACGCGAGAAACCCGGGTTAGATCCCCGCCGGCATCAATAAAATTTTTAATTGAACTATTAAGTGCTGTTTTACCACGTGCTCGGCCGTGAAGAAAAGCATCGTGTGGAAACCTGGAACCTGGAAAATCTGGAAACCTGCATGTCTGAGAAATAAAAAAATAAAAAAAATATTTCGAAGACTTGTGAAGTCCGTCACACGTATCACAACACGAACTTGGGCAGCGTGGCGGTCACTTCCTTGCCCTAAAACCAATTCAGAATTGAGAGGAGGCCTGAGCCTGTGGGACGTATACAGGATGTAACTTTACTTACTTTACTTTTAACTATTGGGCTTGTTGTCTTCAGCCCACCGGAACAGAGTCAGCAGAGGGGCGTGGCGAGACGCCGCGAAGTTGCAGCGCCCGAGCCCGGCCCCACACTGGCACAACCCTACGCTGCGGACCCCAGCGCCTGCGGCCCGCTGTACGCTGCACACGCGCATACTGTGCGGTATGACATTTAAACTATTATAAGCTAGTGCGTATAGGGTAGTAGTCAACTATCTTATCTGGTGGTGAACGGTGTATCCGAAGATATTTTTTTATAGAATAAGCGTGACAAACGAGCACAGTCCACCTGATGGTAATTAGATAGTGTGGCCCATAGAACATCTACATTTATTCTCCATTAACAACCAAAATGCAAATGCGTTGCCCATGAGGACTAAGATTGATTGACTAGTCTCCAGTAAAAAGTGTCACCGGTTCTCAACACGCACCGTACGAAACACAACAGCATTAAGGTGATATGGGCGCCAAATGCAATTTTTTGTCATTAAAAACAACGAATTCACATTTTTTTTTAAATTCGTTATGAAAGTTAAAGATTTTTCTTAGTGAATTATGGTGACCAAAATACGATTGACATATTTTAGCTCGATAGAAAAAGATCGCATTCGAAGTTTCCTCAAAATCTATAATTTTAGGTACGTCCACTAAGTGAAAAAGCAGTTTCATTCGAATTTAATGAAATCGATTTCAATTAAATTCAGGGTATGTGTTCACCAGTAAACACGTAAGTAAATGATTTTTCAATAAAAGAGTATATATATATATATATATATATAATTTTAAAAAGAAATATCAAATAAATATTGTGCAATTAAATAGCGTGCGGACCGACCAAACAGTTCATAAGCGTGAAAAACCTACGTTTGAGTCTACTCATTCGTGGTACGACCATAATATAGTTGCATCGTGGCTCTACTCTCAATAATCTGGTACTGAATTAGCTAAACAAAAGCCTATTGACTCTTGTCTTAAAGACCGTTATACCGACGCTGGCAAATTATTCCACTCTTTTGCTCCTCTCAAACAACAAAACAAACTATTTGATTCGTATGCATCATATATCGACAACAGAATGGTGGATATAAATTAGAAACAGATTTTTTTCATTAAATATAAATTATAAATAATACTTATTGAGAGTCATTATTTTGTTTACTGTTGTCTGGTTATCCGATGTTGGAATATTGTTTTATACGATTCCGGCGCGTACTCACCGAAGTATCCCGTAGAAAAAAAACTTGTTATTTTGCGCCTGTGCTTAAGGACCATTAAGATTGCCATTGAGCAGACTGAGGTCATCATTAATCTTAGCTTAGGAAAAACGTTTTCCGCTAATTCTGGTTCCACGTCTCTCGTAGGAAAGGATACATGTAAGTTTCATGACAGCTCATTTCGCTCATAATCGCTTATTTCCTGAAAACAGCTAGTTAACATCTAGCAGCACAAGTCCAGACATGGCAACAATACTCCATGCACGACTGGACTTGCACTTTATATGTAAGCAGCGGTCCCGTTGTGACGTATGCTTGTTAAATTATTGGCGCTAATCTACTGTTCAACTTCGTAACTCCGAAGCTACCATAATAACGTCCGTGTAACTGATTCCAGCTCGATGTAACGCTTACGCGACAAGATCAGAAGTTCGGTAGGAAGCGACACGTGGTAGAACCACGTTGCAGTATATTATGGTCGAAGCACGAATGAGTCGGCTCGACCGGGGATGACCACCCTCTTACAGAATACTATTCTAAAATAGCAGCTTAATGCTGCTGTGTTTCGCATGGTGCAAAGAACCATTTTGTACTGAACGATGCATTCCATCTTAGTCCTCAAGGTTGACTACGCACCTTCATTTTGATTCTTAATTAAGGATATATGTAGATGTCTATATGCCACAGCATCCACTTACCATCGGGGGGACTGTGTGGTCGTTTGTTATCCTTATTGTGTAAAAAATAATATGACTACCAATTTTGAAGTCGAACAGATGATAATTTTGTGGTAGTTAGGTACGGTGGTGTCATCACAGTTAAATTATAGCACAGTGAATTAAAATACATGTACATCAAAGGGCATATAAAGTAATAAAAGTGTCTAGTCGACCAAATACAGTGATATTGTTGCCCGCGGGTTCGAATCCCGCACGGAACAACGTTTTCTATGGCTTACAAATAACTGTTCCGGGTCTACATGTTTATGTCGTAAAAGTTATGTGTGAAAACTGTCCTCACGATACAGCCGAAAATTCTTGTGAGAAAATAATGATTTAATTAAATAAAAATGCTTTAGCTGGATTATGATTATGTTGTTACAAGTAAGCATCCGGGTCAGCGTTACGTTGCAGTGCTGATAATCTGTCGGTGCCTTCTGTAAACTTTGCAGACGTGGTAGAGTCATGCTGCAGCTATATTAGTAGTATATTTGTAGCACGAATGGGTGAGCTCGACCAGAGAAAGACCACGTTCTCACAGGATACCAGCGTGAATTAGCAGCTCAACGCTACTGTGTTTCGTGTGGTTAGTGTAGAAAACCGGAAACGCTTTTTACTGGAAACGAGGCATTCCATCTTAGTCCTCACGGATGAGAACGCATCTGCATTTTGTTTAGTAATCGAGGATAGATGTAGACCCTTATACTATAAAAATACTATAAAATAAACTTCACAGACAAACCCAATTTTTCTTTAAACACCGGTAATTTATTTCACACTAAATTTGTGTTCATTGTTCCTTTTTTCAGGTATCAACCACATGCCGGTCCAAACAGTGCTTATACTGCATATTACGCCCATAGATAGGTACTATTATTCCACCGCAAAATAGGTTTGTGATATAGTATTAATATAGACATGCCAAACATATTGAGCTGTAACAAGGGAGGAAATGGAGAACAAAACCTCTGAATACGGGAATTCCACAAACAGATCCTCAGCAAATTTGTATAATTACATGTGACGGTGATAATTCCAAGGATAAACAATACAACGTGTGCAATTTTATTTATTTGTGAATTATGTGTGGTGCGGCGTGCGGTGTCGTGATCTTGGCCTGTTTTACAATTGACGAAATACGCTGATTTTTTAAATAAAATCGCGGAAATTTGACTCAGGCTCCGTGTTCGTTGCAACGATGTGTCATAACACAACGATTACTTACATCGAATTTTATATAACGATTCTCGTGCAATAAAGTTACCAACGCACTTTCTCTCACCTCCCTATTTTCTTCTTTTAAATGTGATCAGATAAAGCGTAGTTCCCATTATCAATAAAGTTGTGTAAAAAGACGACAACTTGCAATATTTCTAGTAAATTCTAACATATTAGATATGTCACGTTCGAGTAACGTAACTTTTTATTACGCCTTATGTTATTTTATTACTTAATCAATTGTAGATAGAAACAAAAGTTTCTAATTGCTTTGAATATTATTTTTAAACAAATTTAGTATTATCATAACTCAATTTTCTTTTTGCTTTAAGATAGGTTTAGGCAACTTCTGACAAAAATAAAATGTTACCGATTTGTATAAACTTTTTATACTCTAGGAGTAACCTCATTACTAGTATTCGAACTCATTTTAAATAAAAAATGAATATGTGTGCAATCCAGTCAATGTACCAAATGTAACCAAAGGATAATTTATGACGTAATAAGATTTGGTAAATATTACTGTATATTTATTAAAATCAAATAAACTTTAATAGAAACAAAATATCTTTTATTCTAAACAGCTCCTATTTGATATTTAATGATACTTTTACAACACTTTGTTTTCAAAGTAGTTTATCACATGTTTGAAATTTAAATTATTCTAATTTACATTAAATAGAAGTAGTACTGCATTTGTTGAGGCAGACTTTCAATTTGAGGTGTTCTGTAATGAGCTTTCTCAGAAATTGTATAAGTCATTACATGGTTGACAGTTGCTACACCAGGTTCTTCCTCGTGATCAACGTAGATTTTAGAAGAAATAGTTTCTTCAAACTCTTCACCTACTAACTCTGGTTCGGGTTCCATAAAACTATCAATAGGAATTATGTAAGTGGCTGATTGAGGTTCTAGAGAACAATAAGGTCCGTAATATTCAGATGTTGGATTATATGATACTGCGTCGTAGAAAGTTTGTTTCGGAGTAACTGGAGGGTTGCAGTATTGATCCTTAGTTGGCGGTGATGGAATTTGTGTTTCGTGAGGGTGACTGAAGTAATAATTGTAGGTAGTGTATGGATCAGTGTAATGTACCTGATTATGTTCTGCATGCATTGGCGAATGTTCATCAATATGAGCTGTAGTCTTATTAGTCCTTGTGTCTTGTTCAAACGGGGCATGAGAATGAATGTGATAAGTCATATTTTCAGGGTTTTCGATTTGTATACAACGCTCTTTGTTTTCATTAAGAACTAAGTCTTCTTGAGTTACATTCTTCATATTGATAGCATCCGTTAAAATAGATGTCAGTTCTTTTGCTTGTTCATTAGCAGCCACAGCTAATTCTGATAAAATCTCGGTGTCAGGATTAAATTCTATTCCATATTTATCAGCAATCTCTTGAGCCGACATCATTTTTTCAATAGCGATATTCTGAAATTCATTATTAGATTTAATATGCTTCAAAAGTCTCCACACAAGTTTAGTACTGTCCATTGGAGAATCAATAGATCTTTTCTTCCTCTGATTATTTTCTTCAGTATCTTTATCTACAAAGCTTAGAGCATGTGTAAGGAGGTTTGTAATTTCACTTTGAATTGCTTTTGTTAATGTTGTAGCTATTTCTTTGATTTCTTCTAATTGTTCTTCTGGTGATTTATCTGATTTCAATACTTGTGTCATTGATACGGTGGACGATGAGGGGAAAAGAATTGCGTCTGATTGCAGAAATGTATCAATCCAATCCTCTTTCGCTTCTTTGAAGTCTTTGATAACTTCATCATCGAGTTCGGGTGAACTATATATGATCTCAACTTCATTACCATTGTCGTCTATCTCTGCATAAATTAAAACAACCTGTAAAATATTCATTTAAAATAATACTGCATATCAATTCCGTAGACTTCAAGATAATTATAAAGCGGGCAAATAATTTAAAATATATTCTTAGTTGCATATTTACCTTAATCAATAATATTAGAATAAAGTTGAGAGACGCCATGCTGAACACAATGTGATGTTTGCTTCTTTACTCATTCGATTTATATAAGAGATTATCATTTAGTTAGGAAAGAGTTTGTAAAATATTTATCATCGTATTTACCAATAGTAATTGCTTTTTTTGATAGGGCATGCTTAATCAGAGCAGTTAAATGTTATGTAGTATTACCTAACTCTAAATAATAATTGTAAGTTTTATTTTGGTTTTTAAATTAAAATCTTGTGTCAACGCGTTCAGAACGCCTTGCTAACACAGCGAAAAGAAATTCCTTTTATCTCGCAAAATCAAGCAAACTAGTTTAAAGAGGCTACTATTTCTGAACAAATCTTCTTTTTTATATTTCTAAAAGTTACCTATATTAGATATTTTATTTATGACAACATACACAAAACAAAATAAAAATTAACAAAAAGGGGGAACCAACCTATTGTTTTTTTTTGTATTTTGTAACAATCGATTAAAGGCCATATCAGAATAATCGGCCATCAACGTATGTGAAGGGATATAAAGTTCACATATAGATCGTTTATTTGGTACCCCAGCATGGTTGTTGAGTAACTGCTGTGAAGTATATACGCAAGAATATCATGCGTCTGATACTGCGGTCTGTTTATAATTAAAACACGCATTAATACAGATTATGTATCGGTGGTCGCATGAGAGGTATTTTACCTCGTCTGTATCCGAAATTCTGTAGCAAAATAAGTAATATTTGTAAAAATACAAATTTACTAGGTCACAATGTGTGGTATAGACTATGATACATGCGTCTAACGAAAACTGTAGTCTACCGTATAGCACTGTCTCCGTTAGGAGTTATCGAATGAGGATTCAAATATAACAGTCATTGGCATACACTGAATTAAAGAGAAAATAGTACATACATTTTGTTTTTCGTAGACTAAGGGTGACAAACGAGCACACAACCCACCTGATAGTAAGTAGATGCTGTGGCCCATAGACATCTACATCTATATTAAGAATCAAAGTGCAGATGCGTTATCACCCAGGAGGACTAAGATGAAATGCCTGGTATTCAGTAAAAAGGGTCTCCAGTTCTCTACACCACACGAAACACAGCAGCATTGAGCTGCTATTTTACGCTGGTTTTCTGTGAGAGCATGGGTCTTACCCAGTTGAGGCAACCCACGTTTGATGTCATGTCCGATGCATGTCTGAGAAATAAGAAAAAATATTTCAAAGATATGTGAAGTTTGCCAACACGCATTAGGGCAGCGCGGTGGACATTTTCTTGCCCTAAAACACTCTCAGAAATTAGAGGAGGCCTGTGTCCAGCCGTGGGACGTATGTAGGGTGTATCTTTAACTTAAACTTTCGTCAACTTTCGTTAACCACTACAATCAATCGCAACCCAAGATTAAGGACCATTTACCTGCATTAACCGGATTAAAGAATAAGCACAATTAATTTATACATTTATTAAGTTATTTTAATACAAGTAATATATACATTTGCAAAATTTATTGTAACTATGTCAGTATGAGTATCTCGGATAACTTGGGTATTGTGGATTAGAGTAAGAGTGAGGCGGAGGAAGTGTAGAATATTCAGGTAATGGAGCATAATGAGGCGGAGATGGAACTGGTTGATAAGGTCTGGGAGGACTGGGAGGGGGCGGCGGATAATCTGTGGGATAAAACTTGTATTCGTACGACTGTGGAGGTGTGGGATGCGAATACTGCGGCGGTGAATGTGTCACAGGCGGCGGTGAATGTGTAACAGGCGGTGAGGGCGGCGAGTATAACCCGGGTGGTGAGTATGGTAGTTGGGGATACGAGTACTGCTCATATGAATAGGTTGATGGCCATGCCTGTTGTGTTTTTAATGAATATGGATACTCCGGGAAAGGGACTGGCGGCTCTGAAGGCGATGGGTAGTAGGAACTTGGAAGAGATGGCGCAGGGAGGGGCATTGGAGGATTATGTAACAAAGATGGCGCATATGGTAATGCTGTTGACACTGGAGAGTGAGATGGTGAGTAATATATGTATTGGGGTGACGATGAAGCAGTCACTGGCATCGAATACGCTTGTGGATAATATGCCGTTTCGTAGGAAACTGTGCTTGGAGAATAATCATGCCCTGTTACTGATTCTGAACTGCTCTCTCTTCCTGCGCTTGATGATTTCGGCTTCGAAATTACTGCAAGAAAAAAGTTTTTTCATGAACTTTATCTTAATGGTTTATAAGAGTTATTCATATTATTGTGATCTAAAATGTGGTAGATGACAACTGACAACTTCTGATTACTATCGGAAGCTACCTGTACTAGACATAGCATACGGTATTAGTCTCACAAGCACACAGTACGTAAAGTGGATGCTGTAGCCCATTAACACCTACATATATCCTCGATTAAGTATCGAATGTCAGCGCTTAGGACTAACATCGAGTGCTACGTTACCAGTAAAGAGGGTCTTCAGTTCTCATGCTCACGAAGGGAAACACAGTACCATTATACTATTTTACTTATGCTATTTTTAGATTGGTTTTCTGTGTCAAGTGTGTGGCGGCCATATAGTGTCTGTGTCAGAAAAGCTATCATACCATTTAGTTCCTTGGAGTCGTTAGAGGCATAGGTGTTCATACGTGGTAGAGCCATGCCGAAAATATATTAGTAGTAAAGTTGTGCCACGAATGGGTCGGCTCGGCTGGGGAAGGACGACGCTCCCACAGAATACCAGCGTAAAGTAGCTTAAACGCTGTTGTGTTTCGTTTGGAGAGTGTAGAGAACCAGAGAAATGGGTATTTTGCTGGAAACGAGGCATTTCATCTTAGTCCTCATGGGTGACAACGCATCTGCGTTTTTATTCGTAATCACTTACCGTCAAGTGGACAGAGTGCTCGTTTATCACCTTTATCTTATAAAAAGTGGTGACTATGAGTGATGTTAGAAAAATCTCAATCAATTTATATTGATGGCAGCATTTATGCCAATCGTTATATATCTAGACTAATGACGGGCAGTAGCGGCCAAGAAGCTAAGCGGCTGTTACGGTGACCTTCAAACCACCTGCCTTGGACCCCCAAATCCTCCCTACAACGGGAGTGACCTATATCCGGCAGTGGGTTCTTACGGGCTGATGAAGAAGAAAAAGACAGGATGTGTGTGTAACCTTTGTGCTGCAACTACTGTACGCCACAGAGTGGAAAAGAAGATTATGTGTAAGAATGTTTCTCACCCAGTCGAGCCAACAATCACGTCTCGCAGCTGTACGTATACGCTATACTTGCCTAATATATATTGAAGGTAAGCAAAGTTATAGTGTCCAACAGTTGATCATTTCACACAAACGTTGGCCAAACTTCAGAACCTGTGACGTAATCAAGAAATTCTGATCACTAGGCTACATGTTCTTTAAAAAAAATAGAGAATCCACCACGCCATTTCATTCTGTGGAGAAGCAATTGAGGAAAATATCTTAAATATTCCGAAAGTCTTTACACGGTTGTGTATATATATATATATATATATATATTGTATAATCATCAACTGTGTAAATGCATGCCAAATTTAAAACATTTGCGTTCGCCAATCCCAAACGAAGGAATGATATATAAAAATTATAAAATGAATGACAAAGTGGATCGATAAAATGATCGCTTATATCTTATAACAAGCTTATATTTCATTTCTAACGTTAATTAAATCTTTTAACTCAATTTCAAACTTGTTTTAATTACCAGATTAAACTGTAATTTTGCAGAAACCTTAAGTGTTGGTGAGAAAATAATCAACCATACTCAGTTATGAAAGTTTTGAAAATGGCTGCTGTTTCGAGGAGGGTATAATATATTAAATCAAATCAAAATAATTTATTTGTAAAACATATACAGATCGGAAACAATTATTTGTGTGTTTAGTTATGTGTGTTTAAGCACTTGTTCCGTATGGGATTCGAACCCGCGGCAACCGCTCAACCACTGCGCTTCCGTGCTGTTTGTGCGATGAATAAAACTTGTATAAGACAAAAGTATAATAAAAAGCAATTAGTTAATTGCTTTCTTTATTCCGCCATTTCAGCTAAAATTCTATACGGATGGAAGTATATTGTTTGTGTAGGTATAAGGTAGATCAACTTACATGAAGAATAAAGTGCTTCGATCATCTGGTTCATCCTTTCGTTGAGCGACGTCAGCTGAAATAATAAAGTAGCAAAATTAATGAAATATTGTTTTATTTTAACCAACAAACGAAGATTGATTAAGGCTTTTGTGTGAACTTTTAAAGAAAACTAGTGATAAAATTAAAAAAATTGTTCTTTTTTTTATAGGACAGGGTGACAAACGAGCATACAGTCCACCTGATGGTAAGTGGTTGCTGCGGCCCATAGACATCTACATCTATGTCACCCGTGAGGTCTAAGATGGAATGCCTCGTTTCCAGTAAAAAGCGTCTCCGGTTATCTACACTCACCATACGAAACACACCAGCATGTAGCTACTATTTCACGCTGGTATTCTGTGAGAGCGAACATTAAAAATATTGTACCTAATATTAATGATATTAATAATATTCAATATGAATGAGAACATCATCAATGTATTAGGAGTCAATCAAATTCGGAGTAAATTTATATGGAAAGCAACAGCTTTCAAATAAAAAAAGAATCATGAAAATCGGTTTAGCTAGAAAAAAGTTTTGAGGTAACACACATTAAAAGAAAATGCAGTCGAATTGAGAACCTCCACCTTTTTTGATGTCGGTTGAAAAGAAAAAAGATTTATGAGTGCCTAAAATGTACGCAGCTCTTCGTATATATCTTTTTTTTTGTCAGGGGCGTCCAAACTGATTGCGGACCCTTAAGGGGATAGAGTAAGTCAGCTCAAATTCTAATTTCGTTCCCACTTGCCCGCGCGTCGTATGCTATGTACCGACATGTTTGTAATCACTAATACTGTAAGTAGAAAGGTCGTTAGACACTTATTTCATTAGGTTTATCATATTTATGCCTGTTTCTTAACGCCAAGCCAGTCGTTTCTTATTTTTATTACGGTTATTTCCCATTTTAATTTTACGTCGTCCTGTTGCGTAATGAATATTCTGATCGTAAGAGACACAACCTCCCCGTTCAAAAGCCGAAGCGAAGTGACCGTGCGGCAGGAAACACGCTTCAAGAGGCCGATAGTTTAGGTAATTTCTTTTTTCCAGTGAAAATAACGGTATTTTAAAAAAAGTAAATAACATAAGCATTGCTTTATAGTTAGTTCAGTTAGTATGCAAAGTTTCATGATCTTATATAAAGTATTTTATGAATAACAGCGGTTTATTGTTCATTTTGGAGGTAACTTTGGATTTTTTTTTCTATCGAGAAAATTTTACGGAATCGAGTTTTCGTCCAACATAATCCTTAACATTAATCCTCAACTTTAGAATATATTTATTTCAAAATTAATGCTGCAATATTTTCGGCATAACGAAGGATCTTGCCAAGCCATTTGAGATTATATTTCCCCTTAATGCGCAAACGTAACACTCATCTCGGAAATTATGTATTCCGCCCAGTAGAAGTGAAACTGCTTACGGCTAAACAACTCCTTCTATTCATTGAAAGTGTCATACTTGGGCCATAATTTTTTTTAAAAAGGCGCTTCTTTGGTCATGAAACAATTATTAGTAGTTTGTACAAGTGTAAAAAATTTGTTGAGTTCGGAATTTCCCCAGTACCGCAGTCAAAGCATACTCATTGGGCTATTGAGGTATAGAGGTATCGAGCTGTTGCTATTACTCTGTCGTAAGAAGTATTTTAAGGAAATGCCAAAATACCTCATAACCTTCAATAACGGTACACTTTTATCGTTACAGCTTATTTAAATTCCACTCTCGTACTCGTACGTAGGCTTCCACATGTGGTGACTCATAGGGATCCCCCTTATGAGTCACTCCTTTACCAAAGCAGCCACGCTTCGCAGTGGGTTCATCATCATCATTATAGCCCTTCACAAGTCAACTGCTGAATATAGGCCTCCCCCCAAGTAATGCCACAAAGCACGGTCCTGAGCCACCTGTATCCATCGACTTCCTGTATGTCTTACCAGGTCGTCACTCGATCTAGTGGGGAGTCGCCCTACACTACGCCTACCGGTGCGAGGTTGCCACTCGAGAACCTTTCTTCACCATCGGTTATCCGTTCTTCGAGCTATATGGCCGGCCCATTGCCACTTCAGCTTACTAATTCGTTGAGCTATGTTGGTCACTCTGGTTTCACAGACATCCTCATTGCTGAGTCTATCACGCAGAGAAACTCAGTGCAGTGGGTTAGCAAGCGCATATTTTTTATTTCAGTTGTTACTAGAAAGACGCAGATACCCATCTCCTGGTTTGTTTCCCTCTGTCATCTATTACGACATACACGGGTCGATATGAGGTAGTGGATATTGAGGTAGTGGATATTCTTACACCGCCACTACACGGTCATATTACAGTTACATCATTCCGTAAATTTAATTAATAATGTTTTAAATAAAACAATCTCAGTGCAAACTACTAACCCAGCAATAAACTACTATATGGAATGCATTACCACTAATTTAAATTATACATAATATGTTTTAATAATAAATACTACGATAACGCCCTAAAACAAGCGCCCTGTATAATATATAGGATCCATGCGCGGTGCATTATGCAATACAAGGTCACGCAATTAACTAATAAATACTAAGTGTAGGTTTATTTTTTCTTACTACACCCTCATATTTGTTATTGTCGGTGATTACGGTACACGATAAAGTTTCTATAAACTTATGATTGTACCGTAACGTAATGTGTAATTATTGAATGTTATAAAATATTTAAAAAAATTACAATGGTTCCTCTGTTACTGCAACAATCAAACCACTAAGTATGATGATGGCATATCCTGATGAACGCACGCGCTTAAGAGATTGATGACCAGATGCCCAGGTAGGCTTTGACGGGCTGATGGCGAAGAAATATGGAAGGAGGTTACAAAGATTATTTACCTGTGTTTGTTGCAATTTCTGACACGAAGTCGTCGTCGCATGACTGAGCCCAATGCACAGGGCACTTAACTTGATAAGAAGCCGTAGCATTTTTCTATTTCCTCGAGCTCTGTGCTTCACTACTCTATTCCTATCACAACATTGCGCTCCGCTAGATCCCTTTTACTGATATTTAAATACAATAAAAATCCTAATCGCTTTGCAAACGTGACGAATAGGATAAATTAATCGAGATATATGCTGATAAGATCTTTTATTGATAAAATTTTCTCGATAAGGTACGTTAGTTATTCGTGAAAATTAACATGTGTTGATCTTACGACTAGCTTTGTGATTTCAATTCCACGAGAAGCCACTTTTAAAAAGTAAAAAGTTACAGCCTGTATACGTCCCACAGCTGGGCATAGGCCTCCTCTCATTTCTGAGAGGGTTTTAGGGCAAGGAATAGTACGCCGCGCTGACCCAATGCGTGTTGGCGACGAACTTCACATGTCTTCGAAATATATTTTTTTTCTTATTTCTCAGACATGCAGGTTTCCTCACGATGTTTTCCTTCACCGCCGAGCACGTGGATATCAGCACTTAAAATTGCAATTAACAATTTCATTGGTGCCGGCGGGGATCGAACCCGGTTTGCTCGCGTAATGTGAAATTTACAGCGAGCGCTAACCATCTGAGCTACCACGGCTCTAAGTCACTCTAAGCCACTTTTAAGAAAAGCAATAATTAACAATGACGTTTGGGATGTTTTGTAACTGTCCCGGTGTTAGCCTAGCCTATCAGATATTAAGCCACAAGGTTTAGTCTAATATAGGTTGGCAAAAACGAGATCTGGCACAGATTATGCCACTATTTTTTATAAATGTTAGTGTGACTGATTTACTGTTCATCTGATGATCTGGTAAACAACTATTGTAGTCGATGGACAGCTGCAACCTACTTTAAACAAAGAAATGACTTAGTAAAATGTTTCATCCTATAACAATACTGATGTTATAGATTCATATAGATTGTTAGTCTAAAAAAATACTAGCGATATTTGTTATAGTTTATGTAATAGTGTAATATATATATATATATATATATATATATGTGACATACGATGATGATGTTTTAAAAAGACACGAACAAGAACTGTTTCTTTTTAACTTCCAATTGTTCTGATTATATTGATTAAAATAATTAACAAGGAAAAAGTCTTTAATTGCAACTACAACGTCTGGCTCTCTTGTCCTTCACACGGGGAACAAAGGAAACTGGTCTGCTGCTTACCGGCAGAAAACGATTAGAGTCTGGTATCTATCCTAACGGACTCTTAGGCAACAAATAAACCCTACCCTGTATGTTATTATCATTTTTTCACAATATTTAAAAGTTTTCGTCGGGTATATACCGATAATCGATAGCAATGTATGAAAAAAATTAGATATAAGTTTTACGTGGTAGAGGCATGCTGCAGCTATATTATGGTTGTAGTACGAATGGGTCGGCTCGGCCGGGGAAGGACCACGCTCTCACAGGATACCAGCGTAAAACAGTAGCTTAGTGCTGCTGTGTTTCTTATGATGAGTGTAGAGAACCCGAAACCCTTTTTACTGGAAACGAGGCATTCCATCTCAGTCCTCACGGGTGACAACGTATCTGCATTTTGATTCTTAATCTAGGATCAATATAGATGTTTATGTGCCACCATCTACTTACCATTAGGTGCACTGTGTGCTCGTTTATCATTATTCTTTAAAAAAAGATACAGGCAATAAAAACCAACAAAATTAAGTTTTGGTTTGGTGTTTTAAGTTTAAAGTGTAAATTTTGGTAATTCAATCGGCAGTTTTTATTGTCACGAACCCTAAGCTCGTAACAATTGGTGTAAGAAGTGGGATAAAATCATGCCGATTTTACCTAAGGAGGAAACGGAGGGTGTCCGTACCCGAAGTCAACGCCAGCAGGAGACGAACCAAAGATTTGGTGGTGCAACGCCGCAGACATCAGAGGGCCAGCCGCCGGCTGCAGGCCCGTCAGTAGCTCCTTCATCTGCAGCACCTGACTTAGGTGCTCCCATGATGATGCTGTAGGAACAGGCTCGCCGACAGGAGCAACAGGCCCGCCGACAGGAGGAACAGGTCCGCCAGCAGGCGGAGCAGGCACACCGATTGGATGAGCAGCTGCGGGG